GCTAACGGGTCATGACGTTCGACGGGTCTTGTCTGTTTGTTTACCAGCTTGTTCATGTCTCTACATTTGGCCCGGCTGGCCGACTCCGTCTTCTTGGCAAAGTCGGGCGGCATACTGCGTAGCCGTCTCACCATCAGCTGGCTTTCCTGTCCGAAATCTGTCCCGGAAACCTTCTACAGTAAATCTAAATCGCTTCAGCAAAGCAGTTTTTACCCTTGCATAGTTGGCTGCATCGGTCGGCGTCAGCCTACCGTACACACTGAGCGCTTCACCACTCAAGCAGGTACTTAAAGCAGTTGCCCATTGATGTTCCGGCCTATTCTGACTCCTCGCAATCGTCTCAAACCGGTGAAGGTACGCGTCAAGGTCGTCCTTCCTTTCATCAAACGCTACGAGCAGCTTGCTCGGGTTCAAGCGGAAGCCATGATCTTCCCGTTCGCTGCTTTCAACTCTAGCTTGGACGGGAGTTTCACTTCGCTGTTGCAAACGGAGCCGCTCGAGTTCTATCTCGTGCTGTCGCTGCCGTTCCCTTTCCTCTCTTTCTTCTTTCGCCCTCTCAGCTGCCAGTATTTCTCTCTCCAGCTCCAACTTCAATTGCTGCTCTCTTTCTTCTTTCAGCTGTCGCTCCCTTGCCTCTCTTTTTTCTCTCGCCCTTTCAGCTGCCAACTTTTTTTCTCTCCAATTCCAACTTCAATTGTTGCTCTCTTTCTTCCTTCGCCCTTTCAGCTGCCAACCTCTCTCGTTCCAACTCTGCTGCTTTTTCTTCCTTGGCTCTCTCTTTTTCTTCTTTTTCCTTCTGGGTGACCCACTTCCGTAGTTCGGCGCCAGAAAGACCCATCTTCTCACCAAGAGCGACTAACTTTTCGAGATCCATTGTGTCTCGTAACTCGCAAATAAAGCCTTGCCGCGTGCAAAAAGTATCTGCCTAAATCAGTCTATCGGGACACTCCCATGCACTCGTTAACGAGAACACTGAACAACACACAAAATCGGTCCGATAGCAGTATCAACAACTCGAGGCTCTTTCTCACTACTTTGGACACACTGTGCACCAAAAGGTCCTGAGTCGCGGACGCCAGATTAATTGTCACACAAGTCCCGTTAATTAGGGAGGCGATCGCCGGGCTAATTCCAAGGGCCGAAGTAGTGGCCCTCTGAACCGCACCACGAAAGCGTGGACAATTTAGAAGTGGTCCTTTTTGGCGTGCCAGCGGACGCCGGCTGTGGCCCAAAGAACAAGTCAAAGCCGAGAGTTGATAAACAAAACAAATACTATATTCTCAAAAAATGGCAGATCGAAAACAATACACAAGAATGCACACTCCACAATAGTTACATACAATACGTCACCAAACAAACAACGTACAACGTACTACACAGTACAATAAACCACACTTGGAACAACGGACACAGACAACAATACGCACTACAATGCAGTCGCATGCATTGAACAACCAAGACACTTAAAGACTAAAGAGATATAAAACCTATTCAGTCCAAAGTCCTTGGATCAAAAGTCTGAATGATACTCTTCCGAGAATCACTCACTTGATGTCCAGCGTTGTTGCCGTTCCGCTGTCCCGAAGTTTCTCTTCCAGGAAACCTCGCGTCTTCAAATGGCCACTCTCCAAGCTTCAAACTTCTTCGCCCGAACACGTCGGCTTCACACACGCAGCTTTCGCCACGCGTCTTCGCTCGATAGCGGTAAACACACGCTCTTGCCTGTAGCTCGAGCCTTCACCCCTCAGGTGGAAATCCTCTTCATCTCCGGCTTCGTCCCTACGGACCAAAACCTTCGCCGACTACACGGCGGAATCCCTACGCACTCTGGCGCTACTTCCGTCTTCTCCTGATCTCTCATCTCCGCTGCTCGGTTAAATACCTTCCGCGCGACATTCCAGAAAGTTCTCCTCTTTTCGTCGGCGCGATGTGCAGCGGAGGCTGGGGAGAGGCGCGAGACTGTACGGGGGCGGTCCCCGACAGATGACTCAACTCGGCATACACGCCCCTTTCCTTCTGGAAATTTCTAGCGCTTGCCCGGCCGCCGCTGTGGGGTGAGGAGGTTCATCGGCGAAGCCACGCTTCCGAGAGGAGAGGCGTCGCGCGCCCGGGGAGCCTTAGATGCTTGTTTTCTCTTTTCTTTTTTTTCGTTGACCTTGCCGCGTCTCTCTGGGCGCGTTATCGCAAGAATTTGGCGGCGCGCGCATTTTTAGCGCTTGTTCTGTGACAGTGACCTGCTCTTCTAGCACATACAATGCGTGATTCCTTCGCATTGTAGGGGTCGGCAGCATGTTTTCTGAGGTTATTGTGATTTACTCAGACCTCAGGTCGATGGCAGCACCATGTTGACTTAGAAAGTTTATTCCAACTATCACATTCTTGGAGCAACTCTGTTAAATTACGAAGCTTGCAGGATAAGTCTGGTTATTGACGGTGATTATTGCTGTGCAGACTCCACTCGGCGTTATTAGGTGACCTCCAGTGGTCCGGATTTCGGGGCCTTGCCATGCAGGGCTTCTTTTTTTTCAACTTCGTCGCGAAAGACCCATTGACTCTAGAATAGTCGGCTCCAGTATCAATGAAAGTAGTGACAACGTGTCCGTCGAATATTGCGTCAAGGTCTCCGGTTTGTCGTCATGCGTTGCGGTTGGGTCGTGGCGTCGGGTCATGGCTACGTCTATTTGCTCCGTTGCTTCCACGTTGCGTCATGACCTGTTGTGCAGACTACGAAGGTTCGAAGTCAAGACCCTTTTCGTCTTTTGGCAGATGCTTTCGATTCTGTGGCGGAGTCGTCGTCGTCAGCAGTGACGGAGGATCTTTGTTAGTTCACTGACAACAACCGCCCCTCCATCGGTTGCTACCTTTAGTTTTTTGAGTAAGGGCTCGGAGATCGGTAACGAAATGGGCCAGTGTACTGCCCGCGGTGCGGTGAGGCGTAGTGGCCTGGCGACGGCAAACGATGAGGTCGTCGGGGTGTCGACCGCGCTCTCGCGAGGTAGTCGACAATGTCATGCGGTCGTTCACCCCGTTGTGGGTGTAGAGAAAAGGACGAGCCACCGTACCCATGGCGAAGCCAACCCATCCACCTCTTCTCTATTTCGAATAATAATCTCATTCCCCGATGATGATCATGTCACTCCTCATATTCTACACAATTTGCAACATCCTCTACACCCCCACAGTGTGGCCTCATGATGAACAATATCACAGTTGTTGTAAACACTAAATACACAATGTTCGTCACTAATAGTTCGCGTTCCAAGTCAATCCACCTGGAATAATCCGGGTTCGCTCTTGTGCCTAGTTTTCGAACGGTGATTCCGACGCTTGTTTCATATACGTGCCTTCGAACGCGTCGCCTTCAGTGAACTTGCGCTCTCGATGATCAAGTTTTGTTGACACAAACACGGTTTCTTCTGCGAGCTTCTGGTGTCAACATTTTGAGAAGTTTTGCTTTTGAATTTCTTGTCTTGGCTGTGTTCACCTTGGATGCATCATTCTTCTTCCTCCATCCCGGACTTGATTACTTCATTCACCGCTGTAACCCTATCTCAATAAACCTAATGGGCAGTGAAGTAGCTTATACGGTTCGCATTCTTCTCCCGCTTGGTGTTGGTAGCTCACTCGTAGAGCCCTTAGAACTAATAAATGCAGCAATTTCCTCTGCCCTTGCAATTTTTCTCATGCTTCTTTTCGCTTGAATGCGTCTTGATTTGCTTATGCCAGACATTTCTACGCATGGCTGCGAGGACTGTGCAACATCCGAATCGGTTGGCTGTGCCTTGCACCCATTTTTAATATCCCATGAATGCTCTTTTAGATCTTCAAAGGCTTCCCGCTTTTCATTAATAGAACTTTGCCTCTCAACCATATGCACTTGAGTTGTTGTAAATGCCACGTCCTTTGCTTCATTCACTGTGTACGCTGACGGCAGTTCTAAAGGCGTGGGCCAGTTTTTTGAAGTAGTGGTGCTGTGCGAGCTTGAATGCTTGTTACAGTGGTGATATCGGCGACTTTTTGGCTTCCAGCATGTTCAGCAGTTCGTCGTGAGTCTGAGTCTTCTAGCTTCCGTTGGAGAAAATTGCTGCTGAAGAAGCAGAGGCTAGATGGTGGTGCCACAGACGAAGAGTGCACGTTAACTTGTACTTCTGTCCAAATCTTTTGCCCCATGGCCTCCAAGCGAGCTTGTCGAGCATTTAATACGTCTGCAACCTTATATTCCACTCTTACCTTGGCTAGAATGATCTGGTATTCTTAAAGCTCTACATCGATCGTCTCAGTTTCCAAGCGATCGGTATGAACTGCGTATTCTACTTCCTTGACGATTTCTTTAGGAAGCTTGTAATGCTCAATCAAAATTCGATGAATATGTCACAACTCACTTACTGACGGACGCTCCAGGTGTGTTAGACGTTCAATGATGGCGATGGCTTCTATGACGGCCTTGCGCACTTCATTCTGCCTTGCGAATATTGACTCCATAATCCGGTCTAGTGTCGGAAACATGAGAAAGCACTGGCTGGTCACGTCACGAGGGAAAGTCGCAGTAAACGTGGTATCCCAAACGTTTCGCAGCACGAAGTCTCAAGCAATTTTGAGGTGTCATGCTTCTTGGCCTGGTTCTCGGGAACGGCTTGGCTTCGCACGTCAGCTTCACCCGACGGCGGCGTCACGACAGTCACCCAGGCTTCAAATGCGGTCTAAAAATGGTAAAGTCCGCTTGGTCTCACTTCTAAAGGTCTTGTCTCCCGGGTTTCGCGGCAACAGAATATAGAGAAAAGGACGAGCGGCCGTGCTCATGGCAAAGCCCACCCATGCACCTCTCCTTTCTTTCTAACTCGTCCTCTGCACAATTAGCTACAGTGGGCACGGCCCGTTGATGTCGAAGCCCCGTAGACCCATCTGTCGGTACTGACAACGGTGGTAGGTGTGTCCAGCCTCGCCGCAGTGGTAGCAGAGCGGGCGGTTCTCAGGTGCACGCCAAACATCGGTTTTTCTAGGCGCGCTGCGCTGGCCCGCTAGTGAACGATAGGACGTCGGTGGTGGTGGTGGCGGCGGCGGTGGCCTCTAATGGTGGAAGTGCGGTGGCGGTGGCATCTGGCGGCGAGTGCGACGGGGCGGCGTTTTGGCGCGGACGTGGAGGAGGTGCGTGACGGCGGGCTGCAGCGGCATAACACATGACTTGCAGCTGTGGCTCTGGAGGCTGAGGAACAGCCAGCGATTGCTAGATCACCTGGCATACGACATCCGCGATGGAGTCCACGTGCGGCTGCGTTAAAGGAGGCAACTTTCGCAGCTCTTCATGCACGACCACTCGGATCGTCTCACGAAAGTCGGTTGTTACTAGCGCTGTATGTCAGCGTAGCTTGTAGACGAGACGTTATGGTTATATAGACGCGTCGGCATCTCGAGCATCTTCTCTATCGTGAATGCTTCTGAAATGAATTCGGTGACCATCTTTGGCAGGTTCCTGATCAGCCCAGTGAAGAGTTCTTGCTTGACTGCTCGCATAAGCAGACGGACCTTCTCCTCGGAAATGTAGGGGTTAGCGTGGGGGAAGAGCTTAATCGTATCTTCCGTGAATATCATTACGTTATCATTTGGCATCTGTATACAGGTTTCGAGGAGAGCTGCAGCCTTCTCCTTGCGGACCACACTTGCGAAAGTAGTGAGAAACCTAGCACGACAGACTTTCCAAGTGGTGAGGCTCCACTCTTAATTTTGGAACCAGGTGCGAGCAGCATCTTCTAATGCAAAAAAGACATGCCAGAGCTTGTCATCGGTCGAGTCATTGAAAATGGCAACGCGGTAGAGCCTTTTAATCCAGCTTTCTGAGTTTTCCAGTGGCGAACCACGGAAAGTTGATGGCTGTTTGGGTTGCCGGAGAACGACTGGGGCAGGCTGCACGGGGGCGGTCTTTTTTTGCTTCTGTCAATGTCACAATTCGGGGCTGCCTAATATTTTGTGGGTAGGGGCCCGTATTCTTGCTGCAGTCTCCTCTGGCTGTGGCTTGCTCGCTGTTCGGCGTTGGCGTCGGCGTCTTCTTCGCGACGAGGGCTTGGTTCACGGCTCTACGGGGGCGTCTTGTACATGGAAAAAGCAGCATCTCCACCACATGTCATGGGGTCGAGACGTGGAAGAAGGGAGCAGTTTCTAGTCAAATAATAAACTTTATTTGAGCCGTACTTGCTGCCACGTAGTAGAAAAATCAGATTAGATCAAGACACTGGCACTGATAGCGGCAAGCAGAGCGTCGGCCCTCGATCAACTGGCAAGAGGTGAAGAATGTCGAAATTTATATCTTTGCATTGAATATTCTAGCTTTATCGCTAACGGTGACGTAGGTTCCCGAATAATCTTTGACGTTCTTGAAGTGGGCGTAATCTCAACAAAGGAGGAAAGTTTAAGCGGATGGACAGGAAGGTTACCCGGTTTTTAAACCGGCTGGCTACCCTGTGCTGGAGAAAGGGGTAAGAGGAATAAAAGATGAGAAAAAGAAATGTTGCGAAGAGAGAAAGAGAGAGAAATTACAAAAAATAGCAACAGAGGAAAGGCAACATCAAAGAGTATAAGACACTAAAGTCTGTATCTGAGGCCAGTTGTCCACAAAAAGCGTAGTAGAGCTTTCAAAGCGTTCTGGGCTCAGGATAGACTCGGCCAATGACCCAGAATCCTGTGTTCTGACGAAGGCCGATGATCCAGTCGATCCAGAGCTGCAGTCAGTTCTTGCCTTGGCGCACTCAAATGGGTGCACTCACATAGAAAGTGCGCAAGGGTTTCTTTGCAGCTGCAGTAGTTGCATGTAGAAGAGCTTGGCGTTCCAATGAGATAGGAATATGCGTTCGTGAAGGCCACTCCAAGCCACAGGCTGCATAGAAGAGTCTTCTCAGCTCGAGATATCCCTGAGGGAAGACGAAGCTGCAGATCGGGATCCAAGTTATGCCGGCGTGCGTTTGTGAATACCTTTGAGTTCCACTGTACCAGTGAAGAATCATGTCCAAGCAAACGAAGTCTTGTAGCTGCGTCGGTTCTTCAGAACCGGATGGCTGTGTATTGGGTGCCGTCGTGTGCAGATCTAGCGGCCTCATCTGCGCGGTCATTGTCATATATACCGCAATGACCTGGTATCCACTGATACACTATGCTGTGCTGTTTTTCGATGGCCTGGTGATGAAAAAGCCTTATTTCAGCTACTAACTGTTCATTAGGTCTATGGCGAAAAGGTGACATAAGACATTGAAGAGCTGCCTTCGAGTCCGAGAAGATAGACCAAGTTCCCGAAGGTTCTTCAACTATAATGTCTTAACGAAATCTTGATTGATTGATTTGTGGGGTTTAACGTCCCAAACCACCATATGATTATGAGAGACGCCGTAGTGGAGGGCTCCAGAAATTTTGACCACCTGGGGTTCTTTAACGTGCACCTAAATCTGAGCACACGGGCCTGCAACATTTCCGCCTCCATCGTAAATGCAGCCGCCGCAGCCGGCATTTGATCCCGCGACCTGCGGGTCAGAAACCGAGTACCTTAGCCACTAGACCACCGCGAACGGGCTGTCTTAACAAAATCTTCACAAAAACAATCTTAACAAAACAATCTACTAAAGCCTCGAAGCTTCTCGAACATCGTAGGCACGGTTTGCTGTGAACGTAGTGTAATGGTGTGATAACAAAGCCTGAGGAAAGGAACGTGGCATTATATCTTGTGCACAGAGGCATGATGGGTCAAAGAAAAAAGGCTTGCACATATGTCTTTTCGCTCTACTGGTTAGATGACTTTTCAAGTTAACTTCTTTTACATTTTGTTGGCGGCCACACTTGTTTGAGAATAAACTCAGCTGTACCACTTTGCACACTAAAGCACAACAGATAATGCTGAAAGAATCTAGAATGCTCCCAGACATTGTAACACGGTTTGCGCAATGCAGTATCACCGCGTGCTAGGGTCGGTATTATGAAAATAAAGAAAAGTACGCTGGCAGTATGTATGTATGTATGTATGTATGTATGTATGTATGTATGTATGTATGTATGTATGTATGTATGTATGTATGTATGTATGTATGTATGTATAAATAAATACATACACAAATAAATAAATAAATGAAAACAGTGTTGCTCACGGACATCACTGCTTTCTTGCTCAGAACCAACGAAGCCGCCGCTAGATATTTTGCAAAACCAGCTCTTCCACGTCATTCCATAATTGTTACTCCGTGTAAACCCGCCACATTTGGGATGAAGAAAACCTGCACACGAGCTCGGCACGCATTTGCGTAGCAATGTGACGCACGCCGTGATTATATTGGAATACGTATGCACATTGTGATTGTGCGCTGGCACAAGTGCACTGTGTGCACAGATTATGGCCTGCTATTAAGAGCAGTAACGCAGCAAGTTGATCGAGGTGGTACCTGTTAGCCATACTTTTTGAACAGCTTTGAACAAGACAGAATTGAGAAGACTGAAGCTGAGGGAAAATTCCAGTTACGCTTATTCACAAAACAAACCGAAAATATGAAATACTGTGCGCCACGCTTGCTCTTCTTTTTATCGTATCTATGTGCAGGATAGAACACATGTAATAAACATCCGATGGAATGAAATTCTTAGGTAAATATTACAGTAGCACCGCTGTTTCTTAGATATTGAACAATAAAGCGAAATGAGGCATCTATAAGGTCCAGAAAGCTGATAATGTTCGTAACGATAGTTTTGCGTTAGAAGAAATGAAATGCGCAGCAGTGTGAGCCAATGAGAAATAATGGTATGTCGTGTTGAGATGGGTGAGGTAGATGAGGGCAATATAGTGTGCAGCACTTGTTGAAGAGTTTAACAATACCTAGAAATAGCAATAATATATATGGAAATAGCGAGTATGCTTTCTGCATAGGTACGATCAAGCATTGCCCTGTCCCCAGGACCTGATGCAGACAAGATGTCGCAGAAAGCCGCTCTAGCGGACATGTGTGAGGGGAAGACGGGATGCGTTGTCATTTGCTACCACGAACTGCCAGTGCCAAATTCAACTTTCGGCTAAGAATAACCGTGTGAAATCGTGCACTGATGGAAGAATGACAGCGTGGCAAAGAGAAGGATGCCGAGAGGAGCCTGATGTACGGATGACAACAATAATGATGGGGAGGGGTTTAACGTCCCAGAATCACTATATGAGAGACGCCGTAGTGGAGGGCTCCAAAAATTTCGACCATCTGGGTCTCTTTAATATGCGCATGGGCCTCAGCACATGGACCTCAACACATGCACCTCAGCACATGGGCACACCTGCAGATGGGCACATCTGCAGGCCCATGTGCTTCTACAAATCTAAGCACATGGGCCTGCAGCACTTAGACATCCATCGATAATGCAGCCGCTGAAGCCGGAATTTGATCCCGCGACCTGCGGGTCAGCAGCTGAGTACCTCAGCCACTACACCACTGCGGCTGGGCGGAGATGACCACAAGTAGAGGAAACAAATATGGTTACAGTCATGAGTTGAAATTGGAGATGACTTGGAGGACTAAAACTGGCGAAGGCTGAAAGTGCACATAATTGAGAGCAGAGCGCTGAGGATAACAGCCACAGAAAGGAGTGCAGCGCAGAAGCGGTTGCCACATAAAATACGTCACGTTTTCGCACCATTCCGCTGAGCTCTTTCGATGCGCCGTATTGAATTTGCTGACAGTCAAAATCAACCGTTAATTCTGGTCGTCAATACTCGACGTAATGTACGAAACTATTTCTTATTTTGCGTTTGCGCACCCTCGGCACTGTTTCGCAACTTCTCGTGCGTGTGAAAAAATAGCAGTCATGGAACATTTTCGGATACGTCCAACAACGTTTAAATTGTTTTTCTTTGTTGATGTCATTATTGCCTGAAATGGAAAGCTGCTCCTGAATTCGACGCAGACATCGTGAAGGCAATCCATGTAGGCATGTAGCTCTACATCAGTGCTCCGTGTTTCGAATGAACTATGACGCTGAGAATGTTGGCAGTATTCTCTCTCGCATAACGACCAACCGGCGGCAGCATAACCGACAACCTGATACTACGTAATTATGAGCAGGAGAATCAAGATGCAGCGTACACAACGTTTACAAAGAAAATAAGGCTGCATTGCTAAAGAAGAACTATGATGAAGTTGTGCCTCGGAGGAGCTGTGATACGTAGGATTGAACTCGTAAAGAGGAACGAGAAAACCAAAGCCCTACAGCAGGGCAATGAAATCGAACTTGTGGTGAATATGTTTCTAAACAGCCTCCTCTATTTTAGAAAAGCATGATTATTTTCATTCCTATGATTTGCAGACATTAAGATTGGAATATACGAGACCTACACTTTAAGTCAATTATTTCTTAGGCTTTCTTTTAATAGGTTACAACAACAATCAGTCTTGAAGTAAAAAAAAAGTTCGAAGGAAGGACAGCTTGTCACTTAGGCAAGAAGAAGGGTCTTTTCGTGGCAATAAAATTAAATATCTACTTCCAGCACGTTAAGAGCCTGAAAATTGAAGCTAGAGAGGCAAGAGGCAAGTGCGTAAAATAAAGAAAAGCAGGATAACGAAGAAGTAAACAATGTAAAAAGAAAGGCTGACTTTACTAAGTAGCAATAAAGGGGAACGGTTAAAAAGAAAGAGCCAGACAGAGCGAAAGAACCTGGCAGCAGGAACAGAGTGGTAATGCGAGGCCATTACACGACAAATATTATAGTTGCCTCGCATTAGGAAACCTGGTGAGTGTGTGTGAAA